CCCCTCTGCACCCCCATGATGAATTTATAGGCAGCCACAAGGTCACCTCTCAACCTTCTCTTGCGGAGGCTGAAGAGGTCCAGGTGCCCTAGTCTCTCCTTGTAGGGCTTGGCCTGCAAGCCCCTAACCATACAAGTGGCCCTTCTCTGGACCCTCTCCAGGTTGTCCACATCCCTCTTGAAGTGTGGTGCCCAAAACTGCATGCAGTATTCCAACTGTGGTCTGACCAGCGCCCGATAGAGGGGAAGTATCACCTCCTTGGCTCTGTTTGTCATGCATTTGCTCATGCATGATAAAGTGCAGTTAGCTTTTCTGATGACCTCATCACACTGACGATTCATGTTCATCTTGGAGTCCACTAGGACTCCAAGATCCCTTTCTGCTTCCGTGCTACTGAGCAGGTCATTTCCTAGGCAGTAGGTATGCTGGACATTTTTCCTCCCTAGGTGCAGAACTTTACATTTCTCCTTGTTGAATTGCTTTCTATGGTTTTCTGCCCATTTGTCCAACCTGTCCAGGTCTGCCTGTAGTTGTTCCCTGCCCTCCGGTGTGTCCACTTCTCCCCACAGTTTTGTATCATCCACAAACTTGGACAGAGTACACTTCACTCCCTCGTCCAAGTCACTGATGAGGACATTGAAGAGTATCAGTCCAAGGACCAAGACCTGTGGGACCCCACTGCCCACGTCCTTCCAGGTCGATACCAACCCATCCACTACCACTCTCTGGGTATGACCCTCTAGCCAATTTGCCACCCACTGGACTGTGTAATCATCCAAGTCACAGCCTCTTAACTTGTTCGCCAGTATGGGGTGGGATATCGTATCGAAGGCCTTCCTGAAGTCTAAGTAGACGATATCAACCCCTACTCCTGCGTCCAGCTGTTTTGTAACCTGGTCATAAAAAGAGACTAGATTAGTCAGGCGTGATCTACCTGCTACGAACCCGTGCTAGTTTCCCCTCAGCATAATTTTTCCTGCTGGGCTCTCGCATATATGAGCCTTAATAATCTTTTCAAAGATTTTGCCAAGGATGGAGGTGAGACTGACTGGCCCACAGTTGTCTGGATCCTCCTTCCTCCCCTTCTTGAAAATAGGGACCACATTGGCCCTTTTCCAGTCCTCTGGCACCTGGCCCATGCGCCACAAGTGTTCAAATATTCTTGCCAGTGGCTGTGCAATGACATCAGCCAGTGCCTTCAGTACCCTCAGATGGAGCTCATCCATGCCTGTCGACTTAAACACATCCAGTTCTTCCAAGTGACTCTGCAATATCTCAGGATCAACGCTTGGTAGTCTGGTGCCCTACTGTTGTCTCTTTACAATCCTATTGTGAGATTTGTCTTGCCCCTTGTTTAGGAACACTGACGCAAAGAACTCATTGAGGAGTTCAGCCCTGTCCCCTGCTGTCCGTCACCAATTGCTTTTTCCCATTCAGTAGCAGTCCTATTCCACCCTGGGCCTCTCTTTTACTCCCTATATATCTGAAAAACAATTTTTTGTGATCCTTAACTTGGGATGCCATCCTCAGCTCCATGGTAGCTTTGGCTTTTCTAACTGCCTCCCTACAAGCGTGAGCAGAGGAGGTATACTCCTCTTTAGTAATCTCTCCCTGTTTCCACTGCTTATATGCCCCCCGCTTTTTGCCCTTAGGTTGCTCAGGATTTCTCTGGCCAGCCAGGGAAGCCTCTTGGCCCTTTTACCCCGCATTAGGATTGTCTCCCTCTGTGCCTGAAGGATCATTTCCTTAAGGCACAGCCACCCTTCCTGGGATCCCATCTCCCCAAATCTAAGTCCTTTAGCTTCTGGGCCATGGCATAGGGCTCTGAATTAGGTCCTGCATCTCCACTCAAAACTTGAGGCAACAGGCCTCCTGCCTGAGACCCAACTAGTCCAGTATGGCCACTTTAAGGGTTTTGTAATTCCAAGCTGAATCTGCTTCCAGGACCTGGCAAGCAGCCTGTACTTCTCCAGGTAACAGAGGAGCCACCGTCACAGCCAGTGTATCCTATGGCCACTGATAGGTCTCTGTCACCCACTCAAGAGTTTCAAGGAAAGCCTGTGGCTCATCTGCATGTCCCATCTTGGCAAGGACTCCACCTTCTAACCTTAGGGAACCTAGTGACTCACCAGTGTGGGTGGGGGCCCATTTTGCAACCAACTGCTGTTTCAGGAAGACCTGCAGTTGCTGCTGCTGCTCTCTCTGGAACTGCTGTTGTTGGTTTTATTGATGCTAAAAAAGCTATTCTTGCTGCAGCCCCTCCAGCTATTCTGGCAGGATTCAGGTCTCCATGGCTGACATTTTTTCAAGTACCTGCATTCTCTACCATGTGCAGCAGACTGTCACTCAGCTTTTATTTTCTCTGGAGCAAGCTTGAGCCCACAGGAATCAACATCAATACTAAAACAAACAAATATACAAACAACAAAGGGTTAACTCAAAACCTGTGGTCCTACCTAGGACCTGGAGAGGGCAACCCCAACTCTGTTGTGCCTTCACACCACTGCAACCATACCACTCTCCTCAGCTCCCTCCCTGGGAACTTTTAACTCTCTCTGGGGACAGGCAATCACCCCTGTCAGCTGTACCCAAGTCATTAACCCCCTGTGCTGGGCTCCCACTTTTAAGCCATGTACCCGAGTACACTGTCCTTGTCTATCAAGGAAGAAACCATCCCCAAAACAACCAGGCTGCACTGTCTCACCTGTTTCTTTTAATGTTTCTATTTGTACATTTTTTTACCACAAAGTGATACTAGCTGCTATAAAGAGACAGTGTCTATAAAAATAGCAACATATGGTATAGTATATTTTTTATAGGAAGAGTGAGACTGGTCTAGTAATTGTATGGAATTATATAACTTGACAAGTATGGACATATTTTGGGTGCCTGTACATTATGATCTACCAAATTTGTGGTTTTGCCATTTTTGCACAAACAGAAAATTCACTCGGTTTCCATGAAAAAGCCTGGTCCTCACAAAAAAGCATGAGGACTGTGAAAAGGCATGAAATTGGCAATGTGGGGGGGGAGGGAGAAGACTTGCCAAAACAGAAAAGTGTGGAAAGCTCTAGCATCCTTGTGCCCCAGCCAGCACCTTTGCAGCATGCTGAGCTGGGTTGGAGCAGGCCCAGCCAGGGCTGCTCTGACCCAGCTCAAAATGCTGTGGTCCCGGGGGCAATAGACTCTGGTGTGGATTGCGTCGGAGTTTATTGTGTTGCATTAATAGCATGTGCAGATGCGCCCTTATAGTCTAAGTCAAATCTGCAGCAGCTGAGGAACCACAATTTTTATTTGTAAACTAAGCAAAATTGATATGAAAATTCCTCGGTACTTTAAAAGATTTAAGTACAGGTCAGCATCTGCTGTGTACCGTCATAATCTCATTACTATCACTGGAGTTATAACAATTGACCACAGCTGAAGATCCATCATGGAATGCACAGTTTGGAATACTTCCAAAAAGGATACTGTCAATTTGATTTTTTTTAAATGAATTTATAAAAGTATTTCAACAACTACTCTTGAAATGGTATAGCCCAATTCATAATTTTTAAAAAAAGCAAACAAACATGTTTTTATCAAGGTTTTTCTGCTGCTTTGCTGGAGCTTTGTAAAGGCTTTTTAGGGAGTTTCAGCCTTCCTGTGACTGTTGCTAATAAATACCTTCTTGCAAAGGAAGGTGATGTGCACATCAGTTAACTCCTATCTGAACAGTGCATAAAGAATGCTAATGCTGATTCATGAGACAGTACAGCTATCAACAGAACTGTAAATTTCAATATATGTGACTGCTGATGAACAGATGGATGAAAAAAACTGAACATATTTCACTGTCACCCACTTTTCCATTTTATTGATCATTGCCTTTATTTGCAACTACCCTGGGTACACTTTTTAGGCAGAAATATAGATTTCTATCTAATAGCATCCCATTAAATGAAGATTCAGCTTCTCACTGCTACATATTTCAGTAAACATGGAACGACTGTAGGAAGCTGACTAAATGGACAGAAATTGTAGTTTTACCTGGACATGCTTTATATGAAAACACATTGTGTTCAAGGAGCAAAAGTTAATGTGTTTCCTCTTCTAGGACATTCATTGCTATTCCCTTATAATGAATTGTTATTCCCTTGTTGCTTCGTTTTCTCCAAATACTTCATCTTTTTTTTTTCTTTGCAGATGATGTGGAAACCTGCATATGATTTTCTATACACATGGGGTGCCCACTATGGTGAGAGCTACAGAGATGTATTACAAGACCTGCAACTGGCTTTGGACAAAATGAAAAACCCTGTGACTAAAGATTGGCGAGCGTTAACTGGAGCTTTGATCCTAGTAAACTGCATGGAAGTCCTCAGGGGAAGTGCTTTCTCAAAGATAGAAGAGGAACCCTGAATCCTCTCAAGGAAGATCTTTTGGAGAATTAACCTGCTGGGTTTTATACTCTTTAATTAGTTTTTTTAAATCTCTGATTTTACGAAAGAAAATGGAACGAGTCCTTTTAGTTTAACTTTTTTCTGTACAGAAACCTCAACTGCCCAGGGCCAGAGGGAAAGGTCTGAAGGGCCCTTACTGAAAGTTGTAAAATATTATGAGTACCACAATGACATTGGGATTACTAAGTGAAATGGGTCACTGAAATGATTTTAATTAAATGAACCAATTCACAACAGAAAAAAGCGAGAAGACTACAAATATAGATTATGAGAAACATTGTGATTTATATAGCTGTGTTTTAGTTTGAAATCAGTTCCCTACAGGCACATACATATTCTCGGAGGGCCTTCAGGCACTTGACATTTACAAAAATGATTTTTATGTTGAAATCCTGAAAGTTATAATTTTTAGACAGACTATTGAACCTGTATGGAGCCCCAGTGGAGTCAATAGTGTCACACCAGTGGAGTCCTATCACACATAGAGTCAGTTGGAGGATTGGGAGACTAATTTTCAGTTTGTAAATTATTTGAGTGCCCAGAAGAAGACACCTCAAGCTTGATTTTCAGATGTGCTTAGTCTTTACCACTAGGAGCTGGTTAGGAAACAGAATATCAGTTCTTCCAAAATTTTCAGAATTCAGATTTTTTTCCATTCTAGTTTTGAATGAAAATCAAAAACAGAAGAAATTCCATGCAACTAAAATCTCACAGTAGTTCATTATAGAAACACCAAAACACAGTACAACCACCATTTAACGCTGTTTCGCTTATCGCTATTTCGCTATAATGCTCTTTTATATTGATACCCAAGGTTCACTTAGCACTCAGTGAGTTTTGTTATAACACTCATGGTCGCCATCTTGGTTTATCAAACCTTTCAGTTTTGCTTAATGTTGTTTCGCTTAATGCTTGTTTTTTTGGGAACCAATTAAGAGTGCTAAGTGAGGGTTGCCCATACTTACAAAATGAAATTAGCTTCTTTTCATCTCAGCTCACTACTTGATGGGCCACCTCAGAAATGAAGACCCTGAAAAACTAGGCTCCCCAGTAGAAGCCAGACAGTTAGGAGTGCAAGACGGCATGAAAACCAGTGGGAGTCCCATTGGGAATTCAAAGCCAGACTACTTCTGCAAAATGTTAGGATGAATCAGCAAATTCTAACAAAAATATTTTGCTGGAATTTTTCTGACCAGTGTTATATGGGGTTTCAGTACCTCTAAAAACCAGTTTACATATTTTAAATTGGGAACTTAAAAAAACAGAGGCTAATGAAAAGTAGTGGGAACTTCTGAAAAGGGTTCTTAGCTTTGTAGAAAGAGTTTGCTGTTTTGGGGCTATTTTTACACAACCAAGTCTATACATTTAATATGCATCAGAAATTCTGTAGTTTGTCTCACTTTAAGTGGTACTTTAATCTACATGTTTCCCTGACGAACTACAGTTAGATGAAAAAGGAGATCTATACAAAGCTGTTATCAGAATGCCAGTCACAATCTATGACCTTCTGGGTAATCCACTACCTCTCATATTGCTGTTTTCAAAGAGAGTAGTTTAGCAGGCACAGAAATAGATCCAGAATGCATGAACCTTTATTGTATCTAATTCTCATTTGTGTCATTATTACAGGCAAGTCAGCTAGTATATTGTCAAAAGATACAAGTGTTAATCCTACAGTTAAAAGAAAGGAAAATATTTTAGGACCATTTATGATTTGTTTATACAGCAATTCACACTTGCCTGATTCCTACTGATTGCATGCATTAAAATAAACCTGTATAGATCCTTTTCAATAGAAATCTTACCAGTGTGAAGAAGCTTGTAATAAATGCAGCGCCCACACAGATAACATAGGCTTGGGTGATAGCTCCTGTCTGACCAAATAATCCATTATTATTGTTAGCTTCTCAACTCAAGAGAATTTTTAAAAACAAGCAAACTTTTGATGGCTAAATGATAGCTCCAGGAACCAGAGCAAAACATTTTAGAACTCAAACAGGAAAGAACAGCTCTGTCACAGGTAGATCTCAAGGTCCGTTTGCAAAGTCGGCTTGTAAAGGGAAACCAGACAGTGGCCAACATTTAGGCTAGGGACAGACGTTGCACATAAACCATCTTAAGTAATCAGAAACTGGTTTAAACCTGTAACAGAACAGAATCACCTCAGTGCACATAAAGCAGTTTCAAAATGGTTGAAACTGATTTAAAATAAATCTGGTTGAATGTAGTATAAGATTTAACTGATTTGGGTCAAACCGGTTTATGCAATGTCTGTCCCAGATCCCTTCCTGGTTCAAGTTAAATCAGAGTCCCACAGCATCCCAGCAAGCTTTCCATATTTGGGCTGGGCTGTGCTGTCTGTTCTAGAGAGCAGGGCTCCCTAGCTGGAGCAGTGAGAGGTGGCTGACAAGGGGATGGGGATCAAGCTCAGTCTACAAGTGGGGGGAGAGGGGGGGACCCCAGCCAGGGTTTGGGGCCAGGGAGGGGAATTAAACACCCCTTCCCCCGCTCACATTTGCTGCTGGCTGTGACTGTGGATTACAAATCCCAGAGGCATCCTGAAGCAGGAAGAGGAAATGATGAGCAACCTGGCAGAGTCCTGTTGCTTTAATTCAGGACTGCAAATCCCAAAGACCACAGGGGCATTTTGCTGCTCCTTACATTCCCAAGAATGCGAGCAGACCTGTTACATTGTGCTTTCCACTTCACGATACAGTTTTGCTCTCATGGTTGAATGTACCCCAGTTGGCCACATCCCTTTACTTGAAGTCAAGCCCTGTTCACCACCTCTTTTATACCCTTTGCAAAAACCATCAGGTCAGTTATTATTCACTACCACTTTTGATGCAGCATACCCTATTCCTTTTGTGCCAATTTTTGCACTGCTTACTACTAGTATATATGCTGGTGTGTAATTCCCTCAAGCAATCAGAACAGCACAACATAATGGGCACTTCCCAGCTCAGAGAGAGAGAATGCTGCCAGAAACTTTCAGTTGCAAAATGCCTCCATTAGGTTTGCAGGTGCTTATTTTTTTCAACTTTAAAGGCCAGCCCATACTTGAAAGGGGATTTTGACAAGCCTTGCACCAGAGAGAAATTATATCAATCAAGGAATTGCAAAGGAGCAGGGGTTGCTTTCATGTTGTGCCTATTATCATACTATCTCCTCTGACTTTAAGACCTGAATCAGCAGTGATCTTGCATCCTATTGAACAAAACTTGAATTTGGAGCAAAATATTTGGCTTAGTGAGTCAGTAAGCTCCTTAATATGCAATATTATGTGATCAGTCCTTGATGTTTATTTGTTTTAAGGAGGGTATTTATAGCTAATGCAATTATGCAAGGCTCTAGGTTCTTGAGTTCTGGTATTTATTAGCTAATTCCATACTAAGTTTTGTTTTACATTTCTCCTCATGTGAATTAAATAAGCACTCATGCAATATTCTGTTTACTTTAGCAGCCTACACTGAATGTAAAAAAAAAGGATTAAAACCCATATTTTATTGATTGCTTACATATTTAAAACCACAAAATGCCAGTTCTGAGCAGCTGCTGAGATCGAATACAGCTGTTCTCTGCAGCAGCACTGAGCTTGGAGAACATGGCCTTGGTAAACACTCTACTCTTAGCCTACATCTTGACAGGATGTAGGAGCAAAGACCTACTGTCCCATGAGCTTACATATTTATCTTCCTTAATCTTCATGAGCAGGGATATAATAGTAAATCCCCCTGTGACTTTAGCATACCCTTGGGAGAGGACAAGGAAAAATATCTACCTTATGACCACCCACAATACAATGCATCTTTTTCCTTGACATTTCCAGGTTTCCCCATTTGTCATTTTCGTTGCTGTCTTGTGGAGACAGAAACATTGGACAACATTCCTTCTTCTCCACATTCTTCTGTGGAAAAAAAGGATGTATTCAAACCTTTTCATCTCTGAAGAGTCCAGCAAAAAGGTTCAATATCCCACCCCTACTTCCAGTGGGAAGGGTCTTATTAAGGTGTGCAGCCGGCCTATGCCTATAATGTTGGGGAACACTACTTGCACTCCTGCAATGGCTCTTCATAGAGCAGTTACATCCCAAAGGACAAAGGGTAAAGAGCAACTCCACCTCAGTCGCCCACCCAGAGTGCAGGTTTTTCCTTTGAATATGGAATCTATTTCCCTCAGTCCACTTCAGTGGGCCAGTTCAGCATGACAGAATCCTTATTCTAATCCTAATCTAGGAAAGGGGTAAAGAGAGAAATTATTTGCTTCTACAAATCTCTGTCCATGAACTGAATGGGGAAGAAATGCTTTCTTGATGGTTCCTCTGAAAGCAGAAGATTTGGGAATGGACAAAAGATTGCCCCATGAAGAAAGCATAAGCAGGAGGGCTGGTCCACAACCAACTTCTTAGAAGACATCAGCAGTAATAGAATGGGAGCTAGGGGAATGGGGAGGCAACATTTTGAAATTTAGGGGCATAGTCACCTTCCTTCCTTCTCTCTGGAAACACTGTAGGAAAGCATGGACACGGTGGATTCCAGGGAAGCTACGACAGGGAATGAATCACTCTATATACTGTGCTCATATGCTTTCTGTCTAATGCACCCACTTCTGCAACTGTCAGAGACAGGATACTGAGCTAGATGGATGGTTGATCAGACCCACTCTGGCACCTCTTGTGTTCTGATGTTTGTTTTTCTTTCCACTGAGAAAAAGAAAGAGGTTGGGGTTTTGTGCATACCTCTCTGGTGATTTACCAAGGGGTTTGGGCTTTGCACAATGCAAGCTTCTAAGCTAATATGAAGGCTTAAGCAACTAAGAAATATTTCTGAGTTTCCTCTAGTAGGCGCTCAGGTCAGGCAAGACCATCCATGCTAGAAATATTGTTGTTGAGAGTTATAACCTGTAAGTATCCTGTTCTGAACAAATCCCAGATTGTTTATTGTCCTTGCATAGGCTCTCACTGACACCTGAACCAAGGAGGTGGATAAAGCTTTGCCATTCTAGTTTGCATTTTGCAGTCACTTTACACAAATGCAAATTTCTATGAAAGGTCAATGAGTGTATGACGCACACTCTGGGCCTCTTTTCTTCCTTTCACACCAGTTTAACTTCATGAATTTACGTGAATTTCCTGCCAGTTTATACTAGTATGAGTGCAGAAACAGGCTATTCAAGTCAGGGATTTTCTCAACCTTTCTAGATATCTAAAACAAACGTTACTCAGATGCAAGTGATAACCTGTTTCATGTAGTATTTCTGTTGCTGTCAGTACAGGTCTGAAAATAAGTACCAGTTACAAATATAAGGCCCTCTGCAGATTACACTTAGTACAGAAAAATTGTGAATTTATTTGTTACCAGTATATTTGTTTGTTTTTTACCTGAACTTTTTAAAAATCTTACAGTATATATTTTTAAACATAATAAACAAGGGAAAATAACACTGTATACTGTAGTCTTCTTGAGTCTGCAAACAGCAGGAAGCAACCGCATCTCAATGGTTCAACTAAGAAACAAAGTCATCAGTGGACCAGTTGCTACGAATCCTTTTAATAGAAGTATTAAGCAAGGTAATCTGAGCCCAATCCCAAAGTGTGGTGAACAATTTAACAAGAGAGGCACTCCTGTACCAATTTCAGTAATCAGTTAGGTATTCATTTTAAACCTTTTTTCTGTAAATTTAAATGATCTGTGGCATGTGACCACCTCTTCTCAGGATGGAAGTGTAGCAGCAGGGACCCCTAATCCCTGCTACTTGAAGGGTGGGAAGCCAGCAAAAAGTTGCAAGCAAGAGTCAGCTGCAGAGTAAAGAAGCAGCCAGAGAAATCTGTAAAGGGTTAAAGAGTAGCAAAGGAGAAGGCAGTGGCTACAGCTCAGGGACAGAGGCCATGATTTCAGCCCTCAGAGCAATTATGGCCAGAGGGATCTGAGCCCCACAAAGAGGGGTGACTGAAGGTTAGCAGGGGTCAGAGCTCCAGGCCAGGAGACTTTGGGCAGCGGGGGTTGAAGGCGGAGGTTGGGAGGGGTCAGAACCCCAAATCAAGTGGGCCATGTGGGACCCAAGGAGGACAGAGTACAGGAAGAGCACCCAGAGTTTACCAGCCTCAGACGGCAGCCTCCACTCTTAACTTTTTCCATGAGGTGAGGTAGCAGGGTGAGATCCCAAGAGGCTAGAGTGAGAGCAGGGCAGGACTATGGTGGGCACCATGGGGTATCACAGCTGCCCTTGGAGCCTGTCCTGCTACAGAAATTTAAAGTGGAAAAGTCAAAGATGAAACATTCATACTTTGGCAGTTTTGAGTATTGCCTATGGGATCTATTCTGATTAAATCAGAAAAGAAATCCAGCTTGAGAATGCTGATTTCTTAAACAATTTTACTCATTAGTTGAAAATTTCATTAGAGAGTCTAAAGCCATTTTATAATACTTTCCTCTATTGTACATACAAAAGCCTATATTGCTGTTCATAGATTTCATAGATTTCATAGACATTAGGGCTGGAAGGGACCTCGGAAGATCATCGAGTCCAGCCCCCCGCCCAAAGGGCAGGAAGTCAGCTGGGGTCATAGGATCCCAGCAAGATAAGCATCCAGTTTCATCTTGAAGGTGTTCAATGAAGGCGCCTGAACCACCTCCGGTGGCAGGCTGTTCCAGACCTTGGGGGCTCGGACAGTAAAGAAGTTCTTCCTTATGTCCAGCCTGAAACGATCTTGAAGTAGTTTGTGACCATTCGACCTCGTCATCCCTTGGGGCGCTCTGGTGAACAAACGTTCCCCCAGATGCTGGTGGTCACCCCTGATAAACTTGTAGGTGGCCATCAGATCACCCCTGAGCCTGCGCTTTTTCAGGCTAAAGAGCCCCAGGGCTCTCAGCCTGTCATCGTAGGGTCTGCTTCCCTGACCTCTGATCATGCGCGTGGCTCTTCTCTGGACTCTCTCAAGCTTCTCCACATCCTTTTTGAATTGTGGAGCCCAAAACTGGACACAGTACTCCAGCTGCGGCCTCACTAAGGCCGAGTACAGGGGGAGAATGACGTCCCGGGATTTGCTTGAGAGCAAAAATAAAAATGTTTGTGCACTCCCTGCTCCTCCATTGCAGAAATCTATTTTAATCCGTTTTTAAAAACACACTTATTCTCTAAAGCAATTGGCTCCAAAATGTGGTACCTCTACTTTTGCTATTTA